CTTATGACCGGCTCCAGTTTAACAGTAGAGGTCTCACTCCGAATCATTCCAGTGGCAATATATTTTCATCGGTTTCGTAACGCTGTGTGGAAGCTACCTGGTCTGTTGCTCCGCACTAAACTTCAGGTCTTCTCAGCCACGGTCATTCCCTCTCTTCTCTACTCTTGCGAAACGTGAACCCCCCTAATGGAACATATTCGCCGGTTAGAAACATTTAGGCTGGCCTGCCTACGATCCATCCTGGGTTTAAACAGACTAGATTGTGTGAGGAGCTCACAAATCCTTGAAAGATCTGTGCAAGGTCCCATCGGTGAGCTCCTCCGGCAGGCAAGGCTGCGATGGCTGGGTCAAATAGCCTGCATGCCCAGCCACCGGATGCCCAAGCAGATTTTGTTCGGCCGGATTGAGGGGGCTAAATGGGCGCGGCACGGGCTCGAGAAGAGATGGAGTGATGTGGTGCAGGAGGACGTGGAGCTGAGTGGACTTGCCGATGGCTGGTACCAGCGGTGTCACGATCGGCCTCTGTGGAGGAGGCTCGTGAAGGACGCTACTGGGCAGTTGGAGGTAGTCGCCCTCAAACAACAACGGAGGGCAGAGGTGCGACGCTCACAACAACGAGCGGAGCGCTGGGTGGCTAAAGCACAGCAGGTTGGCACAGTAGGGGGCACAGGTGGTGCATCAGCCAGTCATCTCAGTCATGTTAGTCAGTCGACCCGTGGCACTTGGGTCTGCCCCGTGACCTCCTGCCCGCGGGCGTTCGACCCTTCATGTGACCTCAAGGTGCACATGGCCTGGCACAAGCGTCGTGGTTACGTCAACGCCACTTACTGGCGAATGGCGGTTGTTGTTGTTGTTGAATGAGTAGGCCCTAGAGACAGTGCCTACTACTGTGCCTACTGGATAATACGGCGCTGCTCGGTGGGTGAGTGGGTGAGTGAGTGAGTGGGTGAATGAATGAGTGAGTGGGTTGATGCGTGAGTGAGTAAATGAGTGAGTGGATTGCTGGGTGAATGGGTGAGTTGGTCGTTGAGTGGGTGAGTGGGTGGGTGGGTGATTGGGAGAATGAGAGAGTGAGTGAATGGGTGAATGAGTGAATGAGTGGCTGAGTGAGTGGGTGGTTGAATGGGTGATGGCTGAGTAAGTGGGTGGGAGAATGAGTGAGTGGGTTGTTGCGTGAGTGAGTGAATGAGTGAGTGCGTTGCTAGGTGAGTGGGTGAGTGAGTGGGTGGCTGAGTGGGTGGGTGAATGAGTGAGTGGGTGAGTACAGTGAGGGAAAAAAGTATTTGATCACCTGCTGATTTTGTACAAAGAAATGATCAGTCTATAATTGTAATGGTAGGTTTATTTGAACAGTGAGAGACAGAATACCAACAAAAAAATCCAGAAAAACGCATTTCAAAAATGTTATAAATTGATTTGCATTTTAACGAGGGAAATAAGTATTTGACCCTTCTGCAAAACATGACTTAGTACTTGGTGGCAAAACCCTTGTTGGCAATCATAGAGGTCAGACGTTTCTTGTAGTTGGCCACCAGGTTTGCACACATCTCAGGAGGGATTTTGTCCCTCTCCTCTTTGCAGATCTTCTCCAAGTCATTCAGGTTTCGAGGCTGACGTTTGGCAACTCGAACCTTCAGCTCCCTCCACAGATTTTCTATGGGATTAAGGTCTGGAGACTGGCTAGGCCACTCCAGGACCTTCATGTGCTTCTTTTTGAGCCACTCCTTTGTTGCCTTGGCCGTGTGTTTTTGGTCATTTTCATGCTGGAATACCCATCCACGACCCATTTTCAATGCCCTGGCTGAGGGAAGGAGGTTCTCACCCAAGATTTGACGATACATGGCCCCGTCCATCGTCTCTTTGATGCGGTGAAGTTGTCCTGTCCCCTTAGCATAAAAAACACCCCCAAGCATAATGTTTCCACCTCCATGTTTGACGGTGGGGATGGTGTTCTTGGGGTCATAGGCAGCATTCCTCCTCCTCCAAACACGGCGAGTTGAGTTGATGCCAAAGAGCTCCATTTTGGTCTCATCTGACCACAACACTTTCACCCAGTTGTCCTCTGAATCATTGAGATGTTCATTGGCAAACTTCAGACGGGCATGTATATGTGCTTTCTTGAGCAGGGGGACCTTGCGGGTGCTGCAGGATTTCAGTCCTTCACGGCGTAGTGTGCTACCAATTGTTTTCTTGTTGACTATGGTCCCAGCTGCCTTGAGATCATTGACAAGATCCTCCCGTGTAGTTCTGGGCTGATTTCTCACCGTCTCATGATCATTGAAACTCCACGAGGTGAGATCTTGCATGGAGCCCCAGGCCGATGGAGATTGACAGTTCTTTTGTGTTTCTTTCATTTGCGAATAATCGCACCAACTGTGGTCACCTTCTCACCAAGCTGCTTGGCAATGGTCTTGAAGCCCATTCCAACCTTGTGTAGGTCTACAATCTTGTCCCTGACATCCTTGGAGAGCTCTTTGGTCTTGGCCATGGTGGAGAGTATGGAATCTAATTGATTGATTGCTTCTGTGAACAGGTGTCTTTTATACAGGTAACAAGCTGAGATTAGGAGCACTCCCTTTAAGAGTGTGCTCTTAATCTCAGCTCGTTACCTATATAAAAGACACCTGGGAGCCAGAAATCTTTCTGATTGAGAGGGGGTCAAATACTTATTTCCCTCACTAAAATGCAAATCAATTTATAACATTTTTGATATGCGTTTTTCTGGATTTTTTTTATTGTTATTCTGTCTCTCACTGTTCAAATAAACCTACCATTAAAATAATAGACTGATCATTTCTTCGTCAGTGGGTTAACGTACAAAATCAGCAGGGGATCAAATACTTTTTTCCTTCACTGTAGGTGAATGAGTGAGTGAGTCGGCACCTAGGTCAACGTGCCCACTACTGTGGCGTATTGAATAACAGGGCCCTGTCGAGGCCCCCTTCCTGGAGATCGAGAAGCCGTCTCCTCGCTGCTTTTGCGTACCTGCCCACCCACCTTTGTCAATATCGCGCATTGGTCTCTGGCGGTAGCGGTCGGATTTTTCAGTTTTTTTCCACTTGTTTTTTCCTGCTGGCGGCAAGAGAGGTCACGGGCAGGTCACGGTCGACCAAGTGGGAAATGGAGGAGCACGTGACCTGAGTAATGTTTAAAGGGGAGACGGGGGAGAGGATTCCAGTGACTCGGTGACCAACGCTGAGCACCAACACGCAACAGTCCCGCAACCTCCGATTAGCAGGACGCTCAGCTGCTACGTACGGTGGTGAGTAAGAACATTCAACGTACCGTACGTACAAAGACTCACACAGAGATCCATAGATTAATCACACCAGACCCATAGACTCACACAGAGACCTATAGCCTCATACAGAAACCCATAGGTTCCTCACACATAGACCCATATATTACTCACAGAGACCCATAGACTCACTCAGAGGCCATAGACTTCTCACACAGAGACGCATAGACTCACAAAAAGACCCATAGACTTACATAGAGACGAGTACACTCACACATAGACCCACAAAATCACACAGGCACTCGTAGACACACAACGATCCATAGCCTCACACAGAGACCCAAAGACTCACAAAGAGACCCAAAGACTCATAAAGAGACCCGTAAACTCACACAGGGACCCATAGACTCACACGTAGACCCACATACTCACACAGAGACCCACAGACTCACACATAGACCCAAAACCTCACACTGGGATCCGTAGACACACATAGATCCATAGCCTCACACAGAGACCCATAAACTCATATGGAGACCCATCGACTCATCACACAGAGACCAATAGATTCATCACAAGAGACCCATAGACACACACAGAAATCCATGGACTCACACGGAGTCGCATAGATTCACACAGAGACATTTAGACACACAAAGAGACCCACAGATGCACAGAGACCCATAGACTCACACAGAGACCCATAGATCCCACAGAAAACCATAGACTCACGCAGACTCATAAACACACTCAGAAACCCATAGACCCACACATGTATCACTATGAGTCTCCAAGAGTCTCTTTCCATCTCTACTTGTCTCTATGTTTGGCTGCTGCTATAAATGTCCACGTGATGTCCACGACAACGATGATAGGCCACTTTGTCGAGCTGCCATGATTTGTGATGGAGAGGTCTCTTCTGAAAATAAGTTAATAGCTCAGTTGGGGTATAACTTGAGACGATAAAAAATAATTTAGATGTTTTTGTTTATATTGTTTTACGTTATTTGTTTACCTTGCCTACACTTTGCCCTCCTATCCTGTTTGTGCATCGTGTGGTTTGTTGTTGAAACGTTCTGACCTCGTGGCCTCCTTACCGGAGCATCTGTGACGAGCAAAGAGCTTCATAGCTCATCAGATTTATCCTGCAGTGGCAATACATTCTGATTCTGGCTGCTGTCTCCTCGCTTGTCTCTGATTCTTCCTCGTCAGGTTCCATCCCCGGACCCCTGACGATGCCTGCTGCTCCTTATTTGAATTTGCGTCAATCTATCTCTGTCTCTCCCCGTGGAGATGTTAACGACCTCGCCTGGTATACAGGAAATCGTGGGTTCGATCGAGACCCTGATGATGCCTGATGCTGTGTATTTGGAGTTTGCTTCTCTCTCTGTCCCTCCCTGTGGAGATGTTAATTACCTCGCCTGGTGTATAGTAGGTCGTGGGTTGGACCAGACCCTGACAATTCCTGTTACTATACAGTATATTTGGAATGTGTGTTTCTCTCTCTCTCCGTGAAGATGTTAATTAGCTGCCATTGTATAAATTAGGTCGTGGGTTCGATCCCGACCCTGATGTCTGCTGTATATTTCGTGTCTTTCTGTGGTCGCGTGGATTTTTCTCCGGGTCCTCCGGTTTTTCTCATTCACAATTAGAATCAACATCACCACGTGTTTAGAGTTATGCTATAAATTTCCAAATGATGATGATAGGCCTACATCATTGAACTTTCATTTGTGATGGGCAGGGCGCTTGTGAAAAAAGAGCGACTATATAGCAGCTCATTTGTACCCTAATTTGTAGAATAAAATAATAGTTCGTAGTTTAACTCCATCCTGTATACCATGCGAGCTAGTTAACATCTCGCCACTGCTGTCCCCAGATGTCCATCTCGGCCCTGCCGCTGTTGCTGCTGCTGCTGCTGGAGGTGGTGGTGGTGGTGGGAGCCCAGCAGGAGAGGACCATCTGTGCGGGCATCAACGGGATCCCCGGGCAGCCCGGAGCCCCGGGGCAGCACGGGACCCCTGGGGCCCCTGGGAGGGACGGCAGAGACGGTGAGGGGTCGGGTCCCAGAGACCCCCCACGGTGCGCTCGTGGTGCGACGCGATCACTCATTCACTCACTCATTCACTTACTCAATCGTTCACTTACTCACTCAAATCGCTCACTCGTTCACTCACTCAAAAGTTAACTCGCCATGTCATGCACTCCATCGTTCACTCGCTCATTCTCGTAGGAGAGTGTCTCGTGTGGAGTATAGTGAGATGAGAGGGGAGAGACAGGAGAGTGCGTGGAGGCGAGTGGTGTGAATTGAGAGTGGCTTGAGGAGTGGACGAGCCATGCTTTGTTCTTCTCGCAGGCACTACCGGAGCACCCGGAGCCAAGGGAGACGTCGGGGCTCGAGGCTTGACTGGGGACCCAGGTGGGACCGTGACACTGATTCGTGTGCTCCTAGAAACTGATTCTATATATTTATTTTGTAACCAAGTAAAGCTGACTGAGCTATGTGAATCTTATTCAGAAGCGACCTGGTAATGATTGCTCGACGAAGTGGTCTCATCATCACGTGGACATTTATTCAGCCAAATAAATTTCTAAATGTGGAAGGGAAAAAAACGTAGGACCCGGTGAAAAGTCCACGCAACCACGGGGAGAGACGCATGCAAACTGCAAATACACAGCAGGTGTCAGGATTGCGATCGAGCACACGACCTCCTGTAAACCAGGCGAGGTAGGTAACGTCTAACCACCGACAGGCTGCATGTGCCACGGAGCGATTCATCACTTTTCTTATTTTTTTTAACGTGAAGTTAAAAGACACCAGAAGGTGCCAAGCAACTCAATATAATCGAGGTAGGAAATAACCGAGCTCACTGCTCTATTTATTTCACTGCGGTTGCTAGGAGATGTTAACTCCCTCATCTGGTCCACAGGAGGTCGTCGATTAGATCCCAACCCTGACGATGCCTGATGTATATTCGGCAACACAGCTGCTCAGTGGACCTTGCACCTGGGAATTTAGCAAATAGTTTAGTTCCTAGTTTGGTCTATGGGTCTCTATATATCTCCATGTTTTGAAAAACAGAGCTCACGAGATATACCGTGTATGGCTGTAACATCTGTGGGGGCTGACGCCCCCCTCCTCTTCTCCCACCTCCTTCTCCGCCCCTTCTCGCCGGGCTGCCGCCAATCGAGTGATCGGCCTCCCCGCACCAGCGTCCTCTCTGTGGGATATGGCTAGTGGCTGGCTCCCCACCGCCTGGAGTTATCCCAGACATTCCCCACGTACACCACCACTAATGCGGAGGTGGCTGCGTGCACGCGCGTGCCCGAGGAGCCGCATCTCCGCTTGCAACGGCTCGGGCTAAAAATAGCCGTATGAATATGCACGCGCCCCTCTCCCCCCCCCTCCTGTGCGTCGGCTTTAATCCGCTGTGCAAACACGCACGTGGGCACGGGCACGCGGGCAAAACTACGGCCGGGTTGATGATGATGTACGAGCGCTTCACACGCCCGCACGTACCCGCACCACACCTACGCTCTCCCCACCCACACAGAAATCACACCACACGGATCCTCTGTGCTAAAGTTTATTAATGACGCCAATATGCTTTACCTGGAGGAGGAACATTTCGCGATGAGAGCCTAGCGTAAACTCTGCCTATGAACCCAGTTACCCAAACGTCCTGCCACGTACCTCGCAGCTGTACTCACGGAGTCGCACGGACGCTGTGAGAGTCGGAGGGAGAAGGACGAGCGACACCCTCGCTTATCGCTGCCTCGTAGCGGCACTCGCTGGCATCACACCGGTGCTGCGAGTGGCTCAAGGAGGCAGGACGGCAGGGAGGGGTCTGGATCGCCCGGAGGTTGAAGACAACTGAACTCTAATTCTAGATTTGAAGCTTTCGTGACTGCAAGGATTCATACTCTTTGGTTTTTTTGGTAAAGTCACGTAGGTAAAATAAAATGTAAAATAAAAGAAAAGAACTAACTTAAATCGCGACGTTTCGGAGGCAACACAAGCTTCCGTCTTCAGGTGGAACAGTCACAGCAAGATAGCTGCATTTGAAATCACCATCCCGGGGCACCTATCTTCATTCTCTAAACTTCAAAGGCTCAGGGTGACATCATACCGCGCAGCCAATCGTTCGCTTACCCATTCTTCCCGTCATCGTCCCTCTCCACCGACTCTACCGTGGCCTAATCCGCTCACTTCAAAGGCCCAGGGAGGCATTGCACTGCACAGCCAATTGCGTGCTCATCTGCGCCGTCTACATGGAGGGCCACGGGGTCTGCTGCTTCTGCTGCTGCTGCGGCCCCTCACCCATTGTCCTCCCGTGCTCATTAATTCTAACCCACTGATCTGCCCTTCTGGCCTAATATTCCACCCTGCGCCTCTCCCAGTGTCGTGAGTAACTCATTATGGTTGGCCCAATGAAACTTTTAGTTCTGGGCCAAAACAAATCTAAGCCAATTTAGAGGCACCGCAATGTAGCTTGATGATGAGGGTCAGCCAATCTCCCGGCACCGGGAAACCATGGGACTCCCCCTCTAGGGGCCCTTCGAATTAAAACCCTATGTGCCAGGCAACCCCCCGTCAGGACACTACTACGTGGGTGCACTGTGTGTGGGTGTCTGTTTAGTGTGGGGGCCGGGAGGGGAGTGCGGCGTTTGCGGAGTTGCTCCGTGGTCGTGGCACCACACATCACCCCATGTTCTGGAAAAACAGAACCCATTCAATACACCATGTAGAGCTGAAATATGCATTTTATACAGACACGTCGGGCAAGGTTTTCCTGTTACAAAACAAGGACGTTTGTCACAGGACACCACACAATTGTGCAGGTTTGGCTCACCGTCATCAACATAGATGCAGAATTGCCCCATCTCTCCGTTTGAGAGTTGGGATGAACACACAAAAAACAAAAATCCCCGTATAGCCTTAACATACTGTTGTGGCAAGTGCTGTTGGTGAGCACCTATGAAAACCGGCACGCCTTTGTCTCCCAAGTGGCATTGTTAAAACATCGCACCAGGTAATCAGTTGAGACTGAGTCGACGTAGGGTAGGAGGCCCAGTACCGGTTCAGATAATCATCACTCGTGTTGACCATGAGTGGGAATCGAACTCGGGTCTCTGCCGAGTTCATAGTGCTAACCGCTACACTACCGTGGGGTGACACATACACATGCACACGCCTTGCATTTGGACCGTGTTGTCTGCCTAGGTCTGCCGGGAAAGCTGGGCCCTCTTGGCCAACCGGGGCTCACGGGATCTCCGGGAGTCCCAGGTGAGCAGGGCGAAAGAGGCGAGAAAGGCGAGCGGGGAGAGAGCGGCGTGGGGCCCAGGTCGGCCTTCTCCGCGAAGGTGGATGCTTACAAGCCGGCGGCCGGCTCCCCTGTGACGTTCAACGTCATCATCACCAACCCACAGGGCCACTACAACCCTGGTACGGGGAAGTTCACCTGCGCCCACCCAGGCGTCTACTATTTCACGCTGTACGCGCATCCCAGTGAACAGCACCTCGTGGTTATGATCATGAAAAACGGGGAGGTCATTTCTAAGATGTGTGGTATAAACTACAACGCAATAAGCGGCAGCGTCGTGTTGAGTCTCAAAGCCGGGGACGAGGTGTGGCTGGAGTTGGAGTCTCCGTACATTAATTTTTTTGTCAACGCGCACAGAGACGCCGTGTTCAGCGGCTATATCCTGTACCCCGAGTGAATATTTTTTGTTTCCAACGGAACACATTCACTCACACGCACGCGCATGCACCCCCTCCCCCCCCGTGTTAAAAAAGCTTTTGGGCAACATCTCAGAAAAATATCCAGCAAAAATGTGCAAATTTACTTGGGTAGCCCAAAGCTGTGGTAATGACTGCTAATTTTCGGATGTGACATTTTCACACCAGAGGAAAAATAGGCCCAGCACTTTTCCTCAGCCACCTCTCTCCATGTCAGCCAGGGTGTCTGGGCGAATATGAATCGATTAGACAACGCAGAGAGACATAGCAGCTTGCACCAACTGAATAAGTCTTGAAACCTCAACAATTTTCCCATCCGGCATCGGCAGTGAAGGGGGAAATATTTCAATTCGAGCTGATAGCTGTGAGGGTTGCTCATTTCTAACATGGGAGAGAGGAGTTCGGATCCATTTTCTCTCCCGTGCAATTCCCTCATTTTTTTTATTGCACGGCAACAGAAAGAAGGACAATAACTCAATCTGGAATTCTGAGAATCTTAACAAGATTCGGCACGGCCGATGAATCAGATGCCTTTAATGACCTCCTGTTACAGGTGCTAGCTAAAGTGACCCCTCGAGATATAGTCTTCTTGTTGGGTGGCTTTGAGTCTCGAGTGGGGCATGATGCTGGCACCTGGTCTGGAGTGATTGGAAGGTATCGGATCAGATCAAAAACAACGGTTGGAGGCTGCTATATTTTTGTGTGGCCCATGGGCTTGTAATTACCAACACGCTGTTCCAGCATCGGTGCATCCACACAACAATGTGGATGCATGCCGGGTCCAAGCAAGAACATCTTCTGGAAAAGTGGATTTGCGCCCATTTCCTTGACACCAGGCCATACCGTGAGGCTGATCTGCCCACTGACCATCGGCTTATCATTTCTAAGATGTGCATGCCATTCTTCCACTCCGGTAGTGGGTGTACATCCAGGAACGTATTCGAACAAATAGCGGCCTGGTCTCAGCTATCTAATGAAAGTTGCAAGTGAGAATTTCATGATCACTTGCAGCTGGGGTTTGCATCTTCCACCATTCCTGATGCCGAGGGGAAAAGGGCGAGTTATTGGACTGTGGCTCATGCAGCTGCAATGGCTGCTTTGGGTGCACTGTCCAAATTTCCCCAGAGACCCTGGCAGACAGAGGAGGTGTTCAGGCTGGCTGAGAAAAAACGAAGTCGACTGTCACAGTCTGCAGCAACCCATGTAAGAGAATGAGGAGGCTTACCACAGCCTTCTCTCAGAGATTTGGAGAGCCATACGGCGCTGCAAAGATGGGTGTTGGTCATGGGTTGCTGAGGAGATGGAGTCTGCCTCAGTAATACCTGATCACAAATCACAGTTTAACTCCATCAAAACGTAACTTCTAGTGCCACACCTATCACCATCATTAGGGGTGTTGTATGTATGCCAATTTCAAAAAATTATATGAAGAGTGATATCGCCTATATTTTATGTAATAGTTATCTTTTTACACATATGGATTTAGCGCGTTCTTAAAAAAACACCCAGTAACTGAGGCCTGTGAACTCCTCCATTGAAACAACAAAGGCAAAAGGAGCACCCCCTGCTGCTTTAGCAGCGTCCCGAACACAAAGGAGACAGGCATCGTAGAGGTTACTTACTCACAAGCCTTTGCTTGAAAAGTTGTAATGTTTGGATTGACCACCACCGCGTAGGAATATTTTCCAACATTATGGTATTAAACGTTAGCTTGATGATAGAATGTGCTGTTATATGGCGGTGCAGCCCAGGAGCAAAAAGGTTTTCATAGTGACTATTTGGCATACATCTTGACTTAAAGCTTTCGTGACTGCAGGAATAAATATTATTGGGTCTTTCGGTAAAGTCATGAAGATCGGTTGAAAAAAATATTATTTTTCGATCACAACACAAGCAATCGTCATCAGGTGGAGGAAAGAGGTGGAAAGCTGCTGAGGCAGATTGTTTTAAAAGGTTTGAAATGGGTGTAGCCCAAGGGTCATAAACGAAGTGGGCAGGGCTAGTTATGTTAATGTGACCGGACAGTGGCCTGTTAATGTGATATATTAGAATGTTAATGGCAGATCGCAGAGCAGCAATGCCGAGCTCGGCGTGCGAGGTGGCTATGTTAGTGTGGGAAATTTAACCTGACCACCCAGCTCGACGACGCTAACTGACTGCATAGCTGGCTGACTATCCAGCAGTGGCGGCGTCGGGCGATGACAAAGATGACAGCAGCGATGGCGACGACGAGGACGACTTCCACGGCTAGACGACCCTGATTCCCACAGACAGCCACTGAGCTCCCTGTCTCGCACACTTTTATACTTCCAGCGGGATCTGGCCACGCCCTGGCCACGCGCCCCTTCTCGAACCTTCTAGCTGGTTCTGAGAGCTCAAACATAGATCGCTTCCATGACCCTTGACCCAGTTCTTCCCCTTGGGTGGGAACACCCGCAATTGCTACTTCTAGTCGCCAGTCGGCTCTGATACACTACATTTGCATGGGCAATGTTGTTGGTGTTTTGATGATATTGTGTTAGGGGAAGTTGAGATTAAAGTTGCTTAGATTAAAAACAGGTTTCTGTGTGCTTCTTTCCTAAAATCGTGCATCATTGTCCTAATAACGAACTGTATCCTGTGGTGAGATCTGAATCCCGAGACCTGACACAATTGCACAGGTAATTGTTAAAGCGAGAACCATTAACGTTAAAGCGAGAATCGTACATGTTGAAGCGAGAATCATTGATATTATCACGATTGTTGATACATAGCCCGAGACAACGAGAGTGCCAATAGTGCATTTTTATTTCATTATTTTACCTATTTTTTATTCATTATATTTTTTAATCACAATATTTACAACAGGGAAAGAAGGTGATATGATCTATGACCCCTAGGAACAGGTTTTGTCGATTTGTTGAGCATTTCTGTGAGGTTTCAGGGGAGGGTAAGTCCCTCAGCGTGGAAAGCATCATCGGGAAAAATAGGAATGGCCATGCTGATGCTGTCGTGCCTCATATATTGAAAGAAGTAGTCATCTTGATTTGATGTTTTAGTGACTGCAGGAATCCATACTGTTTGGTTCTTTAGGTAAAATCACGAGCAATCGTCATCAAATGTTCACCTGATGACGATTGCTTGTGTTGCGATCGAAACGTCGTTATTTATTTTGTTTTATTTCGACCTACGTAACTTTACCGAAAGAACCAAAGAGTATAGAAGAAGTCATCTCCTGTGAGTGGCTGGCTAAGGTGCTATATGTTGAGGAAGTACAAAAGGTTATCCAAAATCTGAGAACAAGAAAAGCACCAGGCAGAGATGATCTCCCAAGCGAAATTCTGAGGGATGGTGGCGTTTGTGAGAAAACTGACCTACATGACATCATAATAACAGTCTGGACAAGCAGACGGGTTCTGCAGGATTGGAAGGATGCCCTACAGGGGCAATTCCCTCTTCAGTGTTGCGGGAGAGGTCCTGGCAAGGATTAATCAGCCAGGCATGCTGAGGTGAGGCTTGTGGAGCCAAATGTGGTATCAGGAAAGGGCCGTACTGCACAGATGCCATATTTTCTGTCCGTATGCTACAACAGAGGTGTAGGGAATTCCAACAAAACATACATCTCTCGTTAATTGACCTGGTCAAGGCCTATGATAATATCAGTAGGCCTGGGCTCTGGGTTGTTCTTCTATGCTTTTGAAGTCCGTGACTCTCTGCTGGGCAGGCCCTGGTAAAACTACGTGGCCAGGAGTCGGAGCTTTTCGCTGTTCACCTTGGGGTATGACAGGAATGTCCTCTGGCTCTAACATTATTTAACATCTATTTCTACCACGTAGTTCGTGATGCCAATGATGGCCGTATCGGAGGAATTTCTATCTGGTACAGATACAATGGGAGGCTGATCGATGCCCACGTGAGGTCAAGGGATGGCTCCCTATTGGTCAACCATGTTATGTATTCCGATGATCTGGTGATTTCTGCTTACTCAGAGGAGGAGTTGGAGGCGGTGCTGCTCAATCTGGAGGTTGCCACTAAGAGGTGGGGCCTTACCATCAGCCCCACCAAAACTAGGCACCTGCCTGGCTATTTTGTGCCATTGGACAATTCACCCCCACAACTCGCAATTGTTGATGGGGCAGTTGTGGATAGAGTGGAGAGTTCCCCATACCTGGGCAGTGAGCACATGATCAGCTTCGGATTCACAGCAGATGTCTCACTCTGAATCAGTCGAGCGGCATTATCTTTTCATTGGTTATGTGGAAGCTACCTGGTTTGTTGCGCCACATGAAGATTCCCGTCGGCTCGGCCACAGTCATGCCATCCCTTCTTTATGCTTGCGAAACGTGGACCCCCCCTTATGGAACATCTTGCCTGGTTAGAAACATTAGGCTGACCTGAGTATGATCCATCCTGGGTTTAAACAGGGTGGATTGTGTGAGGAGCTCACAAAAAACCTTTAAAGATCTGGAAAAGTCCCATCGGTGAGCTCTTCTGGCACCGAAGGCTGCGTTGGCTGGTTCATGTAGCCCGCACGCCCAGCCACCAAATGCCTAAACAGCTTTTATTCGGCCGGATAGTGAAGGCTAAACGGCGTGGCAAGGGTAAAAAAAGAGATCGAGTGATGTGCTAAAAGAGGATGCAGAGCTGAGAGGACTTTCCGATGGCTGGTTCCAGCGGTGTCAAGATGGGCCTCTAAGGAGGAGCTTGTTAAGAATGCTATTGGGCAGTTGTAGGCAGTTGCACTCCAGCAACAACGGAGGGCAGAGGAGCGATGCTCACAACAACACGCGGAGCACTGGTTGGCTCAAACACAAGAAGCTTGCACATAAAAGGGCACAGATGGTGCATCAGCCAGTCATCTCAGTTAGTCGACCCATGGCACCCACTGGATCTGCCCCGTGATCACCTGCCAGCGGGAGTTCGAAATTTCACGTGGCCTCAAGGTGCATATAGCCTGGCGCAAGCGCGGTGGTGATGTCACCGCCGCTTAGTGGCGAAAGGCGGTTGTTGTTGTGCACGCGCAAGCACACGTGTGTGTGTGTGAAAGTTTATTTCCCCCGCACATTCGATTAGCACGGTTGACTACGTATGTTGCGAAAGAAGTTGAACGTGCATACACACGTGTCACAGCATGGAAAGAGGTGGCGGCGGCTGATTACAGAGGCCTTCATCCAGCAGTGGATAGTCCCTGGCTGATGGTGATGATGATAGCAGTAGTGGCGAGGGTGAGATATCACACACAAACGCACGCACGCGCGTGCGTGTTTTGGTTCCAAATCGAGAAATGCAATAAGCGGACAGGGTCACACTAACTCCATCACGTGTTCTCTGTGTGTTTCTATCAAAGTGAGTGTGTAAGGAGCGGTAGTGTAGCGGTTAGCTCTACGCCATACTGGGAACCCGGCGACCCGAGTTCAAATCACGGCCAACATCGGTGATTTCGAGTATCTAAACTGGCCCGCAGCCTCCGCGAGGTCACCTCAGTCTCAAGTGAGTAGCTGGTGCGGGACGTAAAATCATCGCTGCTGGGGAGACAAAGGCGACCGGGCGTGGTGCTGACCACCCACCCCCTCATGTGCCATGCCGGCCTTCATACGTGCTCGCGAACAGCTCTTGCCCCTACAGTCTATTACAGGCTATACAGGGGCAGTCACGTGCGGTAAGGCGAGGCAGGGGAGGCAGAGCCTCACCTGTCATACTGCAATGGAAATAGCTTTACTTCAAGTACAAAAAAAAATCATTAAATAGAATGAATAGTATGATTTCCACACTGATCTGTGTTATAAATATAATTTCTGTATGAATCCAATAATTTTCATAGTCAAAATCGCCAATTTTGCCGAGCTCTGCTGCAAATGCAGGAAGAGACGAGAGGTGAGGCAGCGACGAGCTCAGCCTCCCCTCTGATTGCGCAACCCCTCAGAAACTGGATGGAGCGCAGGCAATAAGCGCGTGCCTGTTACTATCTCAGTATGTCACCAATGTAATGTTTGTAGACCCCTTCATTGTATGTAACCTTCCATAGTCCAGGTAACTTATTTCACGTATTATGTGTATAAAGATATTTAGGCTCGCTGGTCTCGTCATGAAACTGCATTGAAAAAGCACCAGGGGAGGCAGCTATCACATCTGCCTCACTGAGGGGGACGTGTCAGACACGCCCCCCTCAATGATGACACGCCCCCTCACTAAGGACACGCCCTCCTCATTGAGGGCACGCCCCCTCGGTGAGGATACGCCCCCCTCAGTGAGGACACACGCCCTCAGTGAGGACACTCCACCCCTCAGTTTGGAGATCTGGCACTGATACTAGCCAGTGCCTCCCCACCCATTGACCTCACCGCACGTCACTGCTAAATATCACCACTAAGGGAGATGAAGGCGGGTGGGCGTGGTAGTGCTGGCCACCCACCCCCTCGTGTGCCACAGTGCCGGCCTTCATAGGCGCTGCTACTTCTCGCTCTAACAGCCACTTGACCCCGGCAGTCTGTTAAAGGCTACACGAGGGATCTTTGTCTTTCTTGTTTGTGCTCGTGCGTGTTGACTGTGACGTCACATGTGGGAGGTCTGGACCAAGTTAGAAATGGAGGACCACGTGACTCAAGTAATGTTTAAAAGAGGAGACGGGGGAGAGGATTCCAGTGACTTGGTGACGAACGCTGAGCACCGACAACCTCCGATTAGCAGGACGCTCAGCTGCTACATACGGTGATCCGAAAGAAAATTCAGCGTACCGTAAGTATAAAGACTCACACAGAGATCCATAGACTCATCACACCAGACCCAAAGAATCATCACACGCTGACCCATAGACTCACAAAAAGACCCATAGACTCACATAGAGACGAGTAAACTCACACATAGACCCACAAACTCACACATAGACCCCCAGACTCACACAGACCCATAGATGCACACAGAGATTCATAGCTTGACACAGAAACCCATAGACTCACTGGGAGACCCATAGACTCATCACACATACACCCACAGACTCACACAGGGACCCGTAGACTCACACAGACCTATAGACGCACACAAAAATTCAAAGTCGCACACAGAGACCCGTAGACTCACATAAAGACGAGTTAACTCACACATAGACCCACAGACTCACGCAAAGGCCATAAACTCCTCAACCAGTCGCACAGACTCACACAGAGAGCCATAGACTCACAAAACGACCTTAGACTCACAAAGAGACCCATAGACTCAAACAGAGACCCACAGACTCACAGAAAGACCCATAGACTCACAAAGAGACCCATAAACTCACATAGAGACGAGCAGACTCACACAATGACCCACAGACTCGCACAGAGACGAGTACATTTTCACGTGACGATGATAACACTACATCATTGAACTTTCATTTGTGAGGGGCAGTGCGCTTGTGAAAAAAAGAGCGACTATATAGCAGCTCATTTGTAATTCACTTGCTAAGATAAAATAATAGTTCGTAGTTTAGATCCATCCTGTATACCGGGCAAGCTAGTTAACATCTCGCCACTGCTGTCCCCAGATGTCAATCTCGGCCCTGCCGCTGTTGCTGCTGCTGCTGGTGGTGGTGGTGGGAGCCCAGCAGGAGAGGACCATCTGCGCGGGCATCAACGGGATCCCCGGGCAGCCCGGAGCCCCAGGGCAGCACGGGACTCCTGGGGTCCCTGGGAGGGACGGCAGAGACGGTGAGGGGTCGGGTCCCAGAGACTCCCCACGGTGCGCTCGTGGTGCGACGCGATCACTCGCTCGCGCACTCGTTCACTCGCTCATTCATTCACTCACTCGTTCGCTCTATCGTTCACCCGCTCACTCATTCGCTCACACGTTCACTCACTCAATAGTTCACTCACTCATTCACTCAATCGTTCACTCGCTCATTCTGGAAGGAGAGTGGTTCGTGTGGAGTAGAGTGAGGTGAGAGGGGAGAGGCAGGAGAGTGCGTGGAGGGGAGTGGAGTGAATTGAGAGTGGCTTGAGGAGTGGACGAGCCATGCTTTGTTCTTCTCGCAGGCACTACCGGAGCACCCGGAGCCAAGGGAGACGTCGGGGCTCGAGGCTTGACTGGGGACCCAGGTGGGACTGTGACACTGACTCGTGTGCTCCTAGCAGCTGATTCCATATACTTATTTGATTTACCAAGTAATCCTCACTGAGCTATGTGTAGTGGCATAACGTGCGCAGAGATTGCAAACAACATTTGCATTTATGTACGGGTTGCAGACAGTGAGGTCACCTCAGGACGAGCAGGTGCAGGCGCGTGGCCTGGGTGACAGCAGACAGAGAGACGCCAGCAATTAGTGACCGAGGCAACGATTGGCTGGCTGCAAATTCAAACGCGGTGTAGGCGCTACGGAGGCGCGAGACAGTGGCGATAAGGTGGAGGACGCCGGCTTAATGAGGGCCATCTGAGGGCACTTAATGAGGAGGGCGATAAATGGGGAACGTGTGAAGCAACGGGGTTAAGTTGGTTGGAGATGAAGCAGTGAACACTTTTCAAGAGAAGTCCGGGACCTTGCCCTCCACACCTCGTCCTCGCCAGCGGTGATGGCTGAGCCCCCGCTGGTGGGCACGGGCAAGACACGCTAGCAGAGGAGAGGCGAGCAGAATCTTTAGCCTGAGTGTGATAGGCTAAAGGGGTGAGAAGCTATCAGAGTATACAGATAGAGTGTCCGTGACAGGCTAGGAGAGCGGGGAGTAACAGGCTAGTGGAGCAAGAGAGAGTAAGCTCGAAGTAGCAGGCTAGCGGAGGAAAAAAGCAAGAGTTCGCTACAAGAGTGCGTGTTGCTGAACGTGAGGAGCATCCGTGTGGGATGCTGTGAATAAAGTAACACAGCAAAAATAGACGAAGTTTTAGACGTGAATAACCACCACACGACAAATGTAACTCTTGTTCAGAAGCGACCTGGCCACACGTAATGATAGCTCGACAAAGTGGACTCATCATCACGTGGACATTTAGTCTACTAAATCAATTTCTAAATATGGAAGGAAGAAAATTCAGAGGATTCGGTGAAAAATTCACGCAACCACGGGGAGAGACGCATGCAAACTCCATTATAACAGCAGGTGTCAGGATTGTGATCAAGCACACGACGTCCTGTAAACCAAGTGAGGTAGTTAAGATCTAGCCACCGACAGGCTGCATGTGTCACAGAGCGATTCATCACTTCTCTTATTATTTTTACGTGAAGTTAAAAGACACCAGAAGGGGCCAAGCAACTCAATATAATCGAGGTAGGAAATAACCGAGCTCACTGCTCTATTTATTTCACTGCGGTAGCTTGGAGATGTTAACTCCCTCGTCTGGTACACAGGAGGTCGTCGATTCGATCACAACCCTGACAATTCCTGATGTTAATTCGGTATTTGCATGTTCTCTCCGTGGTCATGTAATTTTTTCTTCGGGTCCTCTCGTTTTCCCTTCAACGTTTAGACTTCAGAGTATTTGGCTGCTACAAAATGCCACGTGATGATATCAGCCTTTTCATTGTCGACAGGCAGGTCACTTCTAAAAAAATGGCAACACAGCAGCTCAGTGGACCTTACACCTGGTAAAATAACAAGTAGTTTAGTTCCAAGTTTAGTCATGGGTCTCTATGTATCTTCATGTTTTGGAAATTAGAGCTCACTCGGTATACCGTGTATAGCTGTAACATCACCCCATGCTCTGGAAAATATACCTCATTAGGTACACCGTGTATAGCCAGAACATGACCCCCATATTCTGGAAAACAGAACTCACTCAGTACACCGTGTAGACCTGAAACACATGTTCCATACAGACACGTCGGGCAAGGTTTTCCTGCAAAATAGCAAAGATGGTTGTCACAGGACACGACTCAATTGTTGGGATGAACACACAAAATCAAAGATCCTCTATATAGCCTTATCAGACTGTTGTCGCAAGTGCTGTTCGTGAGCACCGATGAAGGCCGGCACGCCTTTGTCTCCAAAGTGGCGTTGTTAACACATCACACTTGGTAATAATTTGAGGATGAGTCGACCGAGGAAAGGAGTCCCAGGACCGTTTCAGATAATCATCACTCGTGTTGACCATGAGCGGGAATCGAACTCGGGTCTCTGCCGAGTGTATAGCGCTAACCGCTACACTACCGTGGGGTGACACATACTCATGCACACGCCGTGCGTTTGGACCGTGTTGTCCACCTAGGTCTGCCGGGAAAGCTGGGCCCTCTTGGCCAACCGGGGCGCGAGGGGACTCCGGGAGTCCCAGGTGAGCAGGGCGACAGAGGCGAGAAAGGCGAGCGGGGAGAGAGCGGCGTGGGGCCCAGGTCGGCCTTCTCCGCGAAGGTGGACGCTTACACGCCGGCGGCCGGCTCCCCCGTGACGTTCAACGTCATCATCACCAACCCGCACGGCCATTACAATGCCGGCACGGGGAAGTTCACCTGCGCCCACCCAGGCGTCTACTATTTCACGCTGTCCGCGCATTCCAATGAACACTATCTCGTGGTTATGATCATGAAAAACGGGAAGGTCATCTCTAAGGTGTGCGGTGAAAAATACGACGCAATAAGCGGCAGCGTCGTGCTGAGTCTCAAGGCCGGAGATGAGGTTTGGCTGGAGTTGGAGGCTCCGTACATTAATTTGTTCTTCAACGTGCACAGAGACGCCGTGTTCAGCGGCTTTTTCCTGTACCCTGAGTGAATCGGTTTTGTTTCCATCAGCGCATCTGGGAAAACAGATTGGGAACACATTCACTCACACGCACACGCATGCACCCCCCCTTCCCCCCCCGTGTTAAACAAAGCTTTTGGGCAACATCTCAGAAAAATACCCAGCAAAAATCTGCAAATGTGCTCGGCTTGCCCAATGCTGAGGTAATGACTGCTAATTTTCGGATGGGAAATTTTCTCACCAGAAGAAAAATAGGCCCGGCACTTTTCTCAGCCACCTTTCTCCTTGTCATCCAGGGTGTCTGGGCGATATATGAATCGGTTTGACAACGCAGAGAGGCATAGCAGCTTGCACCAACTGAAAAAGTCCTGAAACCTCAACAATTTTCCCATCCGGCATCGGCAGTGAAGGAGGAAATATTTCAATTCCAGCTGATAGCTGTGAGGGTTGCTCATTTCTAACAAGGGAGAGAGAGGAGTTTGGATCCATTTTCTCTCCCGTGCAATTCCTCAATTTTTTTTTATTCCACGGCAACAGATAGAAGGACAATAGCTCGATCTGGAATTCTGATCATTTTAACAAGATTTGGAATGTATTGACTATGCCTTGGTTCGTTATGCACAAGGACGTGAACAAACTGTGGCGGATAATATTTCATTGACAACCAAGTACAACCAACTCTTAAAACTCTCAGCGACTGTCATAGCACGCGAGTACAAAACCCTGCAGTTCACCGACTTCACCCAACGACCCTGCGTGTCGACAATGACGGAACACCGCATCGACTTAAACAGATAGAGACCACCACGAGGAACGTTCACAACAACCCTGACGCACGCCTCCACTCCTGGGTGACGAGGCAACGCACCAGAAGCCCAGGATATGCAAATTCACCGTCGAGGTCGACTACATAGTCATGGGTGCGACAAGGATGTCCTCTCGCTCCCACATTATTCAACATCTATTTTGAACACGTAGTTCATGAAGCCTTCAATAGCTGTACCGGAGAAATTTCCACTTGGTAAAGATGCAATGGGAGGCTGATCGATGCCCGGGTGCGGTCAAGGGATGGCTCCCTATTGGTCAACCACGTTATGTATGCCGATGATTTGGTAATTGCTGCTCATTCAGAGGAGGAGTTGGAGACACTGCTGCTTAATCTGGAGCTTGCCGCTAAGAGGTGGGGCCTTACAATCAGCCCCACCAATACTAAGCAACTGCCTGGGTATTTTGTACCATCGGACACTCCACGGCCACAACTCCCAATCGGTGATGGGGTAGTTGTGGAGAGAGTGGAGAGTTTCCCATACCTGGCGAGTGTGCTCATGACCGGCTTTTGTTTAGCAGCAGAGGTCTCACTCCGAATCAGTCGAGCGGCAATATATTTTAATCGGTTGCATAACGCTGTGTGGAAGCTACCTGGTCTGTCGCTCCGCACAAAGCTTCAGGTCTTCTCGGCCACAGTCATTCCCTCCCTTTTCCATGCTTGCGAAACGTGAACACCCCTAATGGAACATCTTCGCCGGTGAGAAATATTTAGGCTGAACTGCTTACGATCCATCCTGGGTTGAACCAGGCTGGATTGTGTGAGGAGCTCAAAAATCTTTGAAAGATGTGGACAAAGTCCCATCGGTGAGCTCCTCCGGCAGGCAAGGCTACGTTGGCTGGGCCATGTAGCCTGCATGCCCAGTCACCGCATGCCTTAACTGCTGTTGTTCGGCCGGATAGAGGGGGCTAAACAGGCGTGGCATGGGCTAGAGAAAAGATGGAGTGATGTGGTACAGGAGGACGCGGAGCTGAGTGGACTTGCCGATGACTGGTACCAGCGGTGTCAAGATCGGCCTCTGTGGAGGAGGCTTGTGAAGGACGCTACTGGGCAGTGGAGACAGTGACCCTCTAGCAACAACGGAGGGTGGAGGACCGATGCTCACAATATCGAGCGGAGCACCGGGTGGCTAAATCACAGCAAGTTGGCATAGTAGGGGGCATCAGCCAGTCGTCTCAGTCAGTCAACCCGTGGCACCTGCTGGGTCTGCCCCGTGACCTCCTGCCAGCAGGCGTTCGACACTTCACGTGGCCTCAAGGTGCACCTAGCCTGGCACAAGCGTCGTGGTGACATCACCGCCACTTAGTGGCGAATGGCGGTTGGTGTTGTTGTGTGCATGTTCATGTGTTGTGTGTATCTATATGATATGTGCATGTGTATGTATCTGTATGTTTCTTTGTTCATGTGTGTGTACATGTGTGTGCATGTTCATGTTTCCAGCAAAAACCACCACCTATCTCCTCACTGGTGCCAGATGGTAACGCTGTGGTGGATGTGAGCAATGCCATCCAGGAAAGGCCAATTCCAAAATCGCCGATACCCGTTAATGGTGGTTGTAGCCACCATAGGTCCAAAATCAGGGTTTTGGACGGGTGTGAGGGGATGATACAATACATATACCACTAAAATACATGTAAAAAAATCTAACTAATCTTGTACCGGAGGTCCCGGGGGGAAAAGTATCTATGGCAACTCCTGGCCAAACCCAATTTGGTGGAGCCAGAGGTCTGAATAATTACCATTGGGGTTCCTCCAGAAACAGCAAGAAGCCATTGCGAGTGGCCACGTGGAATGTTCAAACGCTCACTGTGGAGGAAAGGCTGCCACTCCTCTGTTGGGAGCTGGACTGGTACCACCTGGATCTCTGCGGCATTCAGGAGGTCCGGTGGACTGGCTCCAGCCAATATGAGGGGTGGACAGTCCTCTACTCGGGGTAGAAGACTGCCAAACAACAGAGAGTGCATTTTCTTCTGAACAAAAGAATGTAGGGGGTATGGGAGCATAGAGGTGAGGTGTGGGAAACTGGAAGCCTCAGGCCACTGTGGGCTCTCCTTCCCTTCAATCAAAGGCAAGGTATGGTGGTCGTGGTTATTTATGCCCCCACCAAAGATGAACATCAGTGGAGGGATGCAGGCAAGGCCGATGAATCAGATGCCTTTTATGACCTCCTGTTACAGGTGCTAGCTAAAGTGACCCCTCGCGATATAGTCTTCTTGTTGTGTGGCTTTGAGTCTCGAGTGGGTCATGATGCTGGCACCTGGTCTGGAGTGATTGGCAGTCATCGGACAGATCAGCTAAAACACAACAGTTGGAGGCTGTTATATTTTTGTGCAGCCCATGGTCTTGTTGTTTCCAACACGCTGTTCCAGCATCGGTGCATCCACACAACATCATGGATGCATACCGGGTCCAATCAAGAACATTTGCTGGACTACATAATGATGGAAAAGTGGATACGCGCCCATTTCCTTGACACCAGGCCCTAACGTGAGGCTGATCTGCCCACTGACCATCGGCTTATCATTTCTAGGATGCGCATGCCATTCTTCCACTCCGGTAGTGGGTGTACATCCAGGAACCTATTCGAACAAACAGCGACCTGGTCTCAGCTATCTAATGAAAGTTGCAAGTGAGAATTTCATGATCACTTGCAGCTGGGGTTTGGATCTTCCACCATTCCTGATGCCGAGGGGAAATGGGCGAGTTATTGGACTGTGGCTCATGCAGCTGCAATGGCTGCTTTGGGTGCACTGTCCAAATCTCCCTAGAGACCCTGGCGGACAGAGGAGGTGTTCAGGCTGGCTGATAAAAAACGAAGTCCACTTTCACAGTCTACAGCAACCCATGTCAGAGAATGAGGAGGCTTGCCACAACATTCTCTCATAGATTTGGAGAGCCATACGGCGCTGCAAAGATGGGTGTTGGTCACGGGTTGCTGAGGAGATGGAGTCTGCCTCAGTAATACTCGATCACAAATCACTGTTCAACTCCATGAAAAAGTAACTTCTAGTGCCACACCTATCACCATCATTAGGGTGTTGTATATGCCATTTTCAATTTTTTTTATGAAGAGTGATATCACCTACTTTTTACGTTATAGTTATCTTTTCACACATATGGATTTAGCGTGTTCTAAAAAAACACCCAGTAACTGAAGCCTGTGAACTCCTCCCTTGAAACAACAAAGGCAAAGGCGCACCCCCTGCTGCTTTAGCAGCGTCCCGAACACAAAGGAGACGGGCATCGTAGAGGTTACTTACTCACAAGCCTTTGCTTGAAAAGTTGTAATGTTTGGATTTACCACCACCGCGTAGGACTATTTTCCAACATTATGGTATTAAACGTTAGCTTGATGATAGAATGTGCTGTTATATGGCGGTGCAGCCCAGGAGCAAAGAGTTGTTATAGTGACTATTTGGCAAAAATCTTGACTTAAAGCTTTCGTGACTGCAGGAATTAATATTCTTGGGTCTTTCGGTAAAGTCACGAAGATCGGTTGAAAGAAAAATAATATTTTTTGATCACAACACAAGCAATCGTCATCAGGTGGAGGAGAGAGTGGGAAAGCTGCTGAGGCAGATTGTTTTAAAAGGTTTGAAATGGGTGTAGCCCAAGGGTCATAAACGAAGTGGGCAGGGCTAGTTATGTTAATGTGACCGGACAGTGGCCTGCACAATGAGGGAGCGGAGGCGGCTATGTTAATGTGATATATTAGAATGTTAATGGCAGATCGCAGAGCAGCAATGCCGAGCTCGGCGTGCGAGGTGGCTATGTTAGTGTGGGAAATTTAACCTGACCACCCAGCTCGACGACGCTAACTGACTGCATAGCTGGCTGACTATCCAGCAGTGGCGGCGTCGGGCGATGACAAAGATGACAGCAGCGATGGCGACGACGAGGACGACTTCCACGGCTAGACGACCCTGATTCCCACAGACAGCCACTGAGCTCCCTGTCTCGCACACTTTTATACTTCCAGCGGGATCTGGCCACGCCCTGGCCACGCGCCCCCTTCTCGAACCTTCTAGCTGGTTCTGAGAGCTCAAACATAGATCGCTTCCATGACCCTTGACCCAGTTCTTCCCCTTGGGTGGGAACACCCGCAATTGCTACTTCTAGTCGCCAGTCGGCTCTGATACACTACATTTGCATGGGCAATGTTGTTGGTGTTTTGATGATAATTGTGTTAGGGGAAGTTGAGATTAAAGTTGCTTAGATTAAAAACAGGTTTCTGTGTGCTTCTTTCCTAAAATCGTGCATCATTGTCCTAATAACGAACTGTATCCTGTGGTGAGATCTGAATCCCGAGACCTGACACAATTGCACAGGTAATTGTTAAAGCGAGAACCATTAACGTTAAAGCGAGAATCGTACATGTTGAAGCGAGAATCATTGATATTATCACGATTGTTGATACATAGCCCGAGACAACGAGAGATGCCAATAGTACATTTTTATTTCATTATTTTACCTATTTTTTATTCATTATATTTTTTAATCACAATATTTACAACAGGGAAAGAAGGTGATATGATCTATGACCCCCTAGGAACAGGTTTTGTCGATTTGTTGAGCATTTCTGTGAGGTCTTCAGGGGAGGGTAAGTCCCTCAGCGTGGAAAAGCATCATCGGGAAAAATAGGAATGGCCATGCTGATGCTGTCGTGCCTCATATATTGAAAGAAGTAGTCATCTTGATTTGATGCTTTAGTGACTGCAGGAATCCATACTGTTTGGTTCTTTAGGTAAAATCACGAGCAATCGTCATCAAATGTTCACCTGATG